CAGCCTTGCCAGGTTTTGGCACAGAAATCTTGGGGAATTTAGCCAACGTGACTTGGAAAAAAAATGTTGCATGCAAGATTATGGGTTTATAGAAACTTTCCTTTCTTGATCACCCCCAAGTCTGAACTTTTTTTTAAATGTCTAAGCTCTTTTTCTTGGGATGTTTCTGAAGAGATGTGTCTGAGGTGGCCATAAGATCTCCAACCTTTCCAAATCAAGGCTGTGGTCTCTCTGTATATATATATGTATTTACATTTCAGGGCTGATCTGTAACTATATATTTTTTTCCGAAGTCCAAGATATGTGCTGTTGCCAAGGCAGCTGACATTTAAACCTTTTGCATGTTCACATCTTGGAAAAAGCACTTGATGCATTTTGCAGTTTCACGCATCGTGGTGTGCATCTACATTAAATAAAGACGTTGGATAGATAGATGTGGAAAATAAAGACATTTCATCACATTGTCAAGAGAGATTTTCTTCTCCCATGATTTACAATAAATTCTTTCAAGGTGGATGCACTGGATGGGTGGGGCTTGAGGAAAACGGCATGGATGTATATTGTTTTGGGTAGGTTTGTCGATCTGACTGACACCTGCCCTTCTTCTCAGAAGTCCAGAATGGCCAACGATGTAGAAGAAAGCACATTGTGCTTCCATAAGAGACAAAATGTGTCCCTTTCGTCGGCTTGATTCGTAGGGCGACTGCATTTGGCAGCCGCTGGTGGTGGCGCTCATTGGGAAGAGCTGGAGGGCGAACTCTTTCATCCCAGTGAGACAGATGTTTTGATCTGAGTTGCAGGTGGAGAACCTCCCTGTGATGGGGATGCTCTGACTATGAAGAACTGAATAAAACCATCTCCTAAGCCTGGCCCTCTCCTCGATGCCCAGCGAACAACACCAGACAGCAGAGTGTTTCACCGACATTTACATTGGCTGCTCTCTGGGTATATCTGAGTCTTATCAGAGCCTGTCACTTCTTCAGCCCCTTCCTGGTAGCCCTGACAGCTGGGGGCTTCTGTGAGGTGGGCTCCCTCCCAAAAAAGGAAAATTTCCAAGCTCCGGTTTCTGTTCTTGACCTGTGGTTCCAGAAAAGGTGTTCAGCCCAGTCTTGTTCCACCTCATCCACTGAATTGTGCTGAGGATCTTCACATCTTTTCTTGGTCCTCTTGTGACCCACCCAGGGTTGCTGATCACTCGTTCTGGCTTCCATCTTACTGGGAGAAATCTGCTAAGGATAAAAGGCTAGAATAGCTGCACATTAATGATCTGTAATAATCTTAGAACGGCAGAGCTGGAAGAGACTCTGCGGATCATCAAGGCCAGCTGTTGTCAAGAACACACACCCGGGAACTGAATTCACAACCTCTGGCTCCGCAGCCAGAGATCTAAGCCACTGAGCTAATGTTACTTTCAGAGTGTTTCATGTGAGGAGCCTTCAGCTTGGAAGTGTCTATAAAAATGGGTCCACCCGGTCAACCAGCCAGATTTCCTTCTCCTAGTCCAGAAGGGCCACCTTTTTAGGCTGCCGTCATTGTCAACACAGGGTCCCAACTCACAGGAGAAAGGACTGTTAAACAACCGAGGAAACTTTCACTTGAGGATTCAGAATGTTGTTGAACATTCCATGACATTACAGCAGTTCATCCAGTAGAATAAATAGCAGATACCTAGTTTTTGGTCAAACAGGCATTTCTAAATATTAATTGGTAACGTTGAACAGGAGTTATTTACTACCAAGGACTCTTGCAGGGGAGAAAATGGAAACAGATGGAGCTTGTTGTTATGTGCCTCTGATGGAGGTAGTCCTGCATAAACGATTCTGGAACGACAGCTACGAGAACTAGAAGAAAATACCTCATTTTCCACATATTTGCTTAATGCTGAAGACAGATGCTAGAGGACATGCGAGGTCTAATAGGCCACTAATAAGTTCCTGTGCGGCACACCAGACATGGCACAGATTCCAATTAAATATAATGCATTTAAGTGACTCAGGTCTTCGAAAGGTCATTAACTTATTAGAATAGTAACCTGTTTTGCTTTTTAAGTAGTCCAGAAGCTGTTATTTGGCAGTCAGGGGAGAGCGTGTAAACACAGCATTTTGGTGGTGGAGAGACAGCTGTAGTGTCGTCCGCTGGGATCCAGCATATATTGTATGAGCCGTTTTGGGCCATGTGTGCATGTTCTCAGCAGGAAAATTTCACATGCGCTACAAGCGTAGGTTTGTTTTCTCAGGGGAAACCACAATGTTCCTACTCTAGAGGGCATCTTTCCCCCCATGTGTCCAAAATGAAGTTCAGCTTTGGGTGGAGGAGAGGACTGTGAAATGCACACCCAAATGCACAGGAGACACCAGAAGCCTTCTGTTGGGCATCCTTCCACTACTTTTGGGTAAGGGGCATGGAACACTCTGAACAAATGTAGAGTTAACATGGTCCATGGGTGGGCGCAAGGCTTTGCATCCTGATCAACATTTCTCTGGCTATTTTGAAGCAGCTTCTATTGAAGAATGGGGTCTTTCTGTCCCATCAGCTGGCTATGCATCTGTAAGCCTCTGGCATAGGGTGGCCATAAGTGTCCTTCCTCTCCTCCAGTCCTCTAATCTAGTGCCACCTGAGGGCCACCTTCTTCTTGAAGGTGTTCTACCTTGGGGAGACTATCAACTCTGACGCAAAGCTAGGGAAACACAAGAAGAGGGATCACAGACCATGAAGATGTTCATGAACATCTGGAGAGCAGACTCAGGAGCTCAATCACAGACCATGAAGTTGTTCATCCATAGTGAACATCTGGAGAGCAGACTCAGGAGCTCCCAACACGGACCTTCCCATTCTGGTGAGATTGTTGTAATTCTAACCAAACTACAAAAACCACTTCTAATTTTGCACTTACAAGTCAGCATATATCATTTTATGCCTTTGAATGTCCTATTCTTTGATGACTGATGGCTTTTTTGCGATCTGTATCAGTGGCACCCCTACTCTGGAGATGCAAGACCTGGCTGATGTAAGGATCTGGGTTTGGAGATGTTTAGTGGCACAGCCAGGGACTTGTGAATCCATAGTGGCTCCTGGAAGTGGGATAAAGTGGCCAAGTCAATGTGAGAGCCCTAATCAGAGAATATAACTGAAGCCATTTCTCTTTGTGCTCTCCATGGAAGTGAATGGGAAAGTTCTCGGGAGTGAACTAATGGTTTCTCCAATGCACGGCTGGATTTGGAAACCTACTTGCGGTTGCTGTCGATTCTTTGTTGAGCTAATCTAGAGTAGCTCTTTCACATGTCATAGAGAACACACAGGCTTCATTGTTGTGTTTATCCTTCGTTTTATAGCACATCTGCTGCATAATGAATGGAAACCCAGCAAGGCCGATTTCCTGGATTACCATTAAATACACATAATTGAGCCCAACAAAAGCTAATTTCTGGTTAAAATTATTTTGATCAAATGGCCTAGTCGTTCTGTTCCTGCATCCCCTTGATTAGCCGGTGGTTTTTATTAAACAGTTCTTGGTCAGGCGGATGTTTATGAGGTTTTATGTATTATTTGTCTACTTGACAACCACCAATCCTTCTTGATTATATAGCAACAAAACTGCCCTGGGTTTTTTGGGGTTGGCTAGTAATTGAGTTAGCTATTGTATACAAACTGTTCCCTGGATTGTACTGTAAGTTCTTGTTCCACATTTATGTGTTGGTCAAGTTTCTCTCCAGGCGGCCCCTCTCTTACCACAAGGCCTTTAATCATATTCTGAAAAGATCTGTTCTAATAGTAGTCTGAGAGATGTGTGAATGTGGAAAAGGTGTAGATTTATGTGAAGGAACATTTCACATTGTACAAGATACTACAAAATCTCATTATATTAATCACCTTGGTGGCATTCTCTTTGAGGTAGTTATATCTATTGTTTTCGAAGAAATCCCTCTGGTTTCTCTTCAGATCATACAAACCTTTTGCCTTTGACTCCATGGTGCAATTATTGACTCAGTTTTCCTTCGCAGTGCCTCTCTGATATAGACTGCTGCTTTACACAGAAGCACTAACACACACTAACCACGAACCAGAAAAACCCATGAACTGGGCAGGATTCCCAGAGCTGGCCATTGCATCCGTGCATGCGCCCGCCACCCAGCTGATAGGCAGGTGCATGCACAGGGGTAGCAGGACCGGCTTCTGTGCCAGGAGCTTGCTGCGGCCCATGAAGATGGCAGTGGAGGCCTGCAGTGTCAGCAGAGGAGGCAGAGGTAGCAGGACGAGGAAGGCCCCCCCACACCACAAACCTAAAAAATTGAACCATAAACCAGTTCGTTCTTTGGGGGATTTGTGATTGTTCATGGTTTGTGGGTAGCCATAAACCATCACGAATCACCGGTTTCACGGTTCATGCCCATGTCAAATGGCAACCAAGCAACATGAACCCAAAGCTGAACTGGGGGGACTTGAGATGCCAGAGATCGCCAGAGGAAGGAAGGACAGGTGGGGGACCATTGGCTGGAATGCAAATCGCATCGAACAGTGAACTCCCAAATCAATCTGCAGCCAGCCGCAACTTCAAATGTAACATAGGTTGCTGATCAAATCCAGTGTAGTTGCACCCTTAGCAGCATCCAGCAGCCTTCTGCTGTTCATTCTGAGCTAAGGAATGGCCTGGATTTCTCGTGGTCATTGCTGAATTCTGCATCCACAGCCTCCTACATCACAACAATGGTGAAGACTGTATCAGAGGTGTGCCTTGTGAATCCAACAAGATGTGGTGTGTCAATGTTCTTTGCCCCAGAAGATCCCACCATAGTAGATGACAGCTCACGGGATTAATCCCTTTCTTCTTCTGAGTGCCCCTCCAAGACAGAAGGTGGCTGAGTTCAGGGGGCTTTCTACCAAGCAGTGGCACTGGATTAGTCCTTTGGTGTCAGCAGACCTTCTGGGGGCTGAAACTGAAAGGGTTCTGGAAGGCGGTTCCGTATGCGTCCGCACCGGAACTTCTCTCTAGCTGGTCCCTCCATGGTCATGGACAGAAGCCCACCAATCACAGTGCTCAGTTGGAGACCTAGAGGCACCTAGATGTTCATGTCTACCTAGGGATGACCCTGGACGATAGCAAAGCCGTGAGGTGCTCGCTGGGAGTGTTTCTTGCCATGAGCTTTTTATTTCCCCCATAGTGATGGTTGTTTGTGTTGCCAATGTTATTCTAGCGCATCTCTTTCCTTTCCATGCGGCACAGAGGCTCTCTGCTGCCCCCTACAAGTCAGGGTTTTTTGCAGACACAAGCTTGAACCCTTCGTCCAGTATGGACCGCCTGTTGCGCCTCAGCTTCTTTTGCCGCTGAAGGTAAATTATTCTCCCCAGGAAGATGCTGGCAAGAAGGAGCAGCACTATCCCAGCAACTGCAAGCACAATGATGGTAATTTTTGCATGCTCAAGGGATAATTTTGAGCCAAACAGAAGGATGTTCTCAGAGCTGTCTTCAACTCCAGCAGGGCCCCCTGGGAAGCAAAACATAAAATAAAATGATGGAGAAGTCACGTGTTCAGCATTGAATGTACTACTTCAGGGAAGAGTCACTTTTCAAGGGTCCTAAAAGGGGGGGGGTGTCTTTAATGCTAGAGGCTACCTGAGAGAGGCAGGGGTTCAGAAGGAAAGGGAAGCCGTACCTGCGGTGGAGTGGGTGTTCAAAGACCTTACATCTGAAAGGAGATGAATCACAGAATTAGAAGCACATCATTGGATAGCACAACTCCCCTCCCCCCCCCGCAAAAGGATGGTAACACTCAGAATCAGTCTGGATGACTTACATATGGAAACAAGTGAATTCACATGTGCCTCAAGACCAGAGCTTAGAAAGGGGGCCTGCTCGCCATGCGGGATCCGGCTCAGTCTCAGCATACCTGTTGAGTTATTCTCTGCCTAGATTCCTTCAAACAGCTAAGACACACTGCAGTGTCTCTCTGGCTCTTGGCCTGCAGACCCCCTAAAGCATCCATTTTCTTCCACCAATGGCTTTCTGCTCCCTTCAATGGCCCGGAAGCTTCCATCATTCTGGGGGCTATGCATAGATTGCACCCCATCGCTTCCATCCTGACCATGTTTACTTCCATCGGTTGGTAGCACCATGGAGAGCTCATGAGCGGCACCATCTCGGGAGGCCCGCTGAGCCTCCTACCCAACGACTTCCATCTAGTCTTACCTGCTCTGGGTAAGACAGTGAACAGCGTCTCCATGCCAGCATGGATGTGGTCAGCTACGTGGCAATGAAGCAGCCATGTGCCAGGATTGCCCGCCAGCATCTCCACCATTTCAAAGGTCCCAGGGAACAGGTCCACCACGTCTGCTCTGTAATCCTTCCCACTCTGTCCTCGGGGAAAGGCAGAGAGTGAGTGTTAGTTTGGAAAATGAAACGTTGCTGCTAACATTAACAAACCCTTTCTCCACCCCCCACCCCACCCCCAAAATGCTGAATTTCAGGTTCAAGAAAGCTGAATTCTCCAACCTGTAAACAAGTGAATTAACCAAGTCTTTCCTTGAACGACTCACATACTATTCCGGAGCTTGACAATTCTGCCTAATTTATTCTGGTCCTGGGGAGTCATAAGAAGGGTTACAACTCAAGCAGATCCTTGGATTCTTCTCCCCACCCCTTCCCCTGGATTCTGGGTATCTTTCTCAGACCATCAAAAAATGTTCAGGTATTGCTCACAAACCTTCCAGAACCATAAAGGCTAGATTTTATTTCCTCTTAATGGAAACAGAAAAGAAAGCAGTGTGGATTTCCAAGACCAACCAGAGGTGACTAAGGCAGTCATTCCTTGTATGTGGAAGCAGACTAGAAAGCATTCCCCAGCTTTAAGTCCTGCAGACCAAACAAGCATATTCCCAGAGATAGGAGAAGCCTCCTCTGTGAAACTCAGATGCTTTCATTCATTAAGGATTTCCCTCTTCCAGTTATGGGCTAGCTCTGATGTCCATTTCTGGTTTTAGGAAAAGCTCATTCACGGTTCATTCAAAGTTCTTCTGCTCCTTAATTCGGTGGGAAAGCTCATTCAACGGCACCAGGGAGAAATCAAACAGGCGTTACATAGATGTTGGTTCAACAGCTGCAGAGTCTCACCCGGTACAAGAATGTCTCGGCGTGGAAGTGTACAGTGTGCACGTCAATCTCCTGGCCCAGTCCCAGCAGATACCAGTTCACCCAGTCGCCTTCATACATGGTCAGCCCATGCAAGTTAGCATACAGCTTTCCGTTGATGGCTGAGGAAGGAAGGAAAGAAGAGAGGAAGAGAGGGAGGAAGATCACGGTGCGATACAGCCTTCCCTGATCTGGGATGCTCAGATATGGTTGGTCCTGACCGAGCCCCAGGTTCCATGGAATAGACTGAAAAATGATTGATTGTGCTGTGCAAGGCAGGACCGGGCTCACCCTCTTGGCAACTTCCTCATGCATTCCTACCTCTGTGATTTCTTCTGCACAACTTTGTGAAAGCAGCTGGGATCCAGCCACACCACTGTAATGGGCAGAACCCGGACTCCATGGGCGATGGGAAATCAAAGGCACAGCTCAGAGGCAAAGCCTGCCGATTCTCCTCCCGGGGGTGGGGGGTCTATCGTGGAATTGGTCACCCAGCAGGTTTTCAATTCAGGCTGAGCAGCAGTTAGAGCACAGCTCAACCTTGGAAATTAACAAGTGAGCTTAAATCAATATGGACAGATGGGAGACAGAAAAATTCCAGCATGCTGGCCAATTCTCTGTCAGCTGGCGTGCCAGCGACAAGCGGAGCTCATGCAAGATGTAAAAACCGAAGCGGGGTACCGTGCATTTTGTTGCTTTCGACAAATTCTTCGTCTTCTCTACGGGAACGGTTGCTGTACTTCCCCACGTTCTCCTCGAGGTACCAGGATTGGTTTTCATCAAAGACGAGGAAGAGCAGCGCAAACTCCTGGCCAACGCCTTTCCTTCTTCCTTCCGCATCCAGCGTGCCTTTGCGGCAGACCTTCAAGGGGCCCACGAGGCCACTGAACGTGTCCTGGGGGGCCAGAGCAGAGAAGGGGGGGTCTTCTCATTGGCTCAGGGATTCATGTAGTTAATCCCGAATCCACCAGGATGAGCCCCAGTCCGGCCCCAGCTGAGGCTCTGTTGGGGAGCGTGGGTTTTTGATGAAAACCCATCCACCCTCTGGCTTTCCTTACACCCCTTACGCTTGCCTCTGCTCACTAACACCTCCAGGTCCCTGATCTTTTCCAGCATTCTCTGTTCTTTGCAGGCATGGATTATGCCCTGCAGGTTTATTATTATTACTCATTCACTCACAGAAGGTTACGGAGCAACTATGGAAGCTCGTGTTGAGTAAGAGCAAATAAATAAGCAAATTAAAAAAATTTGAAAGAGCCTGCGGTGCAGAGACAGCTCAGCTGTAGGCAGAGAACGGCCTGAAAACTACAAAACCCATGATGCAGTGCAAAATGATTATAAAAAGGAAGTCTTCAGGCAACAATTGATTCTGTATGGCCTATACAAGGGCAACGTTGCCACACGCAGACATACCAGGCTGGCTGCCCTTGTGCAAGGCTTTACACAAGTTACACCTGGAGGAGGGTGACCAGGCACTGACCTTCATTACTATCTCACCAACAAATGAAAGGAGGATTGAGTCCAAAAACGGTGGAAAAGGGCTAACCTTGATAGGGTCTACCCGGGAGTAATAAATCCAAGAGACACAGGCAGAATCATTTGGTCCTGGACCAGATCTTTCAGGAATATCCCATTGATACATGACGATTTCACCTAAAGAAGGGGAAAAAAGGGGAGGAAGGGAGATTTGACCATTTTACCATTTCTTAGAGGACGCCATGTTAACTTCTTGCAGCTGAAGCTACGAAGAACTGGAGCATCTTAAAAGCTTGTTTGGGATGAGGACGACAGCTCTCCTCATGGGTCAGATAAGCTGACAGAAGCTTCTGCCACATAAAGGTAAAGGTTCCCCTGGACATTTAGTCCAGTCGTGTCCGGCTCTAGGGCGCGGTGCTCCCCCCCATCTTCAAGCCGTAGAGCCTGTGTTTGTCCATCGACAGTTTCCGTGATCATGTGGCCAGTGCGATTCAACACGGAATGCCATGACCTTCCCACCGAGGTGGTACCTATTGATTTACTCACATTTACATGCTTCCGAACTGCTAGGTTGGGGAGGAGCTGGGACAAGTGATGGGAGCTCACTCCGTCGCGTGGATTTGATCTTATGACAGCTGGTCTTTGACCTTGCAGCACAGAGGCTTCTGTGGTTTAACCCACCATGCCACCATATCCCCTGCCACATAATACGTGCCCATTAGGAAAAGTGGCTATACCAGACTCTTCATCCAGGCTCACCGGCTTGTGCTGCTTTCGGATCCCCGTTGCTCTTTTCCACGACTCCGTGGGCGTGAATGGAGTATGAGCGTGTAGCATTGTTCTTGAAAACAACGTTGAGGATGTCTCCCACTTCAGCCCAAATAAAAGGACCTGGAGGCAGGAAGGCGGGACTTTAGGACACTCACATCACGGGATATCAATGCAGCAGAAGAGAAAAAGAAGAAGAAGCAGCAGCAAGGGACATTCTTGAAGGCAATACATTTGAAAAGAAGACAGGAGAGGTCAAGACCTGCGTCACACGAGTGATAATAAGATTGCAGAGTTCTGGATAGTAGTGCAGCCTTCAGGCTGAATATACCCATATTTTTCGCTCCATGAGACGCACCAATTTTTTAGGAGAAGAAAACAGGAAAATATAATCTGTTTTCTTCGCTCCATAAGATGCACAGACTTTCCACCCCCCCTGTTTTGTGGGAAAAAAGTGCGTCTTATGGTGCAAAAAATATGGTAAGACCATTCCTGTTTTTGAACGTTGCTAAACCAAGAAAAGAAAATGACCACACCATCCAATGGACTGTGATCTTCCTCTCTGATATGTTAAATTTTGCATGCAACATTATCATTTTTTTCTTTTTGCCAGGATGGGCGAGAATTCAAAAGATGTTTTCCTCAGCTCGACTTTGAAAAGACTGACCTTCCGCTGGGCTCTGTGTTTGAAGACTCAACACGGTCTGAAGGAAAGCAACACCCAAAGGTGGCCCTTTCTTACCAAGGATCCCCAGATGTTCCTCGCCCTGGGTTCTGTTTTTGGGAGTCCTGAACGTCCCATCCGTGTATTCCCGGTAAACCGCTTTCTTGTACCGGGAGCCCAGAAGCCCGTTCTCACGGCTCAGGAAGACCTGGCCGTAGCTGCAAATGTCAAAAGTTCGATTTCACATGAATGAGGCTTGTGCGGGCATGAATAAAACAACACGCGCTTCTGTGCCTGAGACAGCTCCTTGCTTTGAACAGATTTTCTGGCGGGGGTTGCTCACAAACATGAACCCAGCCAAGATGAAAGACTGCAAGCGTTGTCATTTCGAAGCCGAGGCGAACAGGGAAACGGTAGGGATGTAATCAAGATGAGTGAGAACAGAAAGTGCTAACGATGATGACAGTGCTTATGAAGTTTCATTAAATAACCCTTGGAGGTGCAGACTATCTTAGGCAAGGGCTCTTCCATCGGGAGTATTTGTTCCCTTTAAAGTACTGGATTCTGCACTTATTTGAACAGAAACTTCCCTAATAGCCAAATCATTTCCCTCTTCCTTCACTTTGTCCTGTCTTTTTTTAAAAAACACATATTCCCCACCTTCCCCCCCCCTTCAAAAAAGAAAACCCTCTTGGTTCATTTTTGTACCGGTTTGTGCCGGGGGTGGAAGTTAGCGCTATGGCAATTCTAGGCATGTCAACATCAAGCCATTTAATAAGTGTAACTTTTCTGTAGCAGGGTTTTTTTTAAAAATGGAAATAGCATTTGGGGTGAGGCAGTGGTACTACATTGGTTTCCTTTTCATGGCACCACCATCCGAAGCTCCCTGCCCTGCCCTACCTTCCCTCTGCAGAGCTGTTGTGTCGTTCTAGCTCCCAGTTGCGATCTTCTGCGTAATCCCACTCCACTTCCACTGCCATGAGGTAGATGGTCCTCACTCTCTCATACGGTCGATCAAGGAAAGGTGCCCTTTCTGCACAGGGCTGGACGGAGTAAGAACCCCTCATCCCAGCCTGGTAGTGGTTGCTAGTCTGACAGTAGACGTCAAAAGTCCCTGGAAGGAATATAAGAACCTCAGAAGAGCCCTGTGCTGGATCAGGCCAAGGGCCCGTCTTGTCCAGCTTCCTGTCTCTCACCATGGCCCCACCCGTTGCCTCTGGGAGACCACGAGACCCCTATCTCCTGATACCATCCCCCTGCCTCTGGCATTTTGAGGTCCCTTCCTTTGAACCATGGAGATGATCCACCCCCATCGTGGCTTGCAACCTTTGATGGACTTTTCCTCCAAGAATCTGCCCCATCCCCTTTGCAAGGCATCTAGGCCAGATGCCTAGGAATCCATGAGAAGATGCAAGGAACCCATTTCAAGGAAGCCATGAAACATGGTGGCCAAGGAGGAAGCTTCACCAAAATAAAATACAATCTGCCTAGCATTTTCAAGAGAAACGTCTGCAGTCGTTCCCCACTTTCTGTAGGAGCCAAATTTCTCCTGGCTTTGCCATTTGTTCCTCAGACTTATATTCTATCAGCGCTCAGAATCAATTCATTGCAAACTAATATATTATTCCCAGCTGTAACCAACTTCAGCTGAAAACGTGCAGATCTGCTGCTCACTTACATTAATCCCATATGTGTACTACAGTTTATCAACTGGATTGGGGCCTTTATGTCTGCTTAAGAGCAGCAGTAAAGGGAGCAGTTCTGATTTAACCTGGTGAGGGAGGAACCCATGAAACAATTCCCCCCCCCCAAGTTTCCCAATATTAAAGCAGGATCCCTCAACCCGGTGACCTCCAACTGTATTCCACTACAATTCCAATAGTTCCAGCCAGCGTTGGCCATACTGGTTGGGGATGATAGGTGTTGTAATCTGGAGGGCATCAGTTTGGGAGGAGAGTGTTTCAGAGAGAGATATCAGCTTTTTACCTTCATTATCAGGTTGCATCCATGCTGTGGCAAAAGTGTGGGGGAACAGGCTAGCTGCGTCTCGCCTCATCCCATTCATTAAGATCGTGTTTCCCTGGAACGTGGCTCCGTGGACGTCCGTTTCGCTGCCCAGGCCCAAAAGATGCCAAGAAACTCTTTCACCTTTGCATATGGACAGGTGAGGCAGGTTGCTAAACACGAACCCGTTGATGGCTTTTAATGAGAGACAAGCGGTTAAGAGACAGAATCAGCAGGCAGCGCTGGAGCAGACCTGGGAATCTCCAGTAGAGCTTCTCAAGCTTCTGTCCTCCAGATGTTTTGGACTCCTGTAGCCAATGGCTATGGATTTGGGAGCTGAATTATAAAACACCTGGAAAGCCAACTCATGACAGCCAGTGTCTCAAACCTACTGTACATCAGTTACTCTAAACTAAAGAAGACCCCTTGGCTGAGTGGGACTTGCATGTGTGTTGACTTAAAAGTCTTGTTCTTTCAGCTGGTTTGCTCAGGACTAACATCTGGATTTAGCCACAAGAGTCTGTCCAGGTGGCCTTTTCAGCACACTGCTAAGCTGAGGGTCAAACGAGACATGCTTAGCACATATTTCGAAAAAGATGTTCCCTCAAGCAATGCAAGATGTCTGCCATAGCACACAATCTCCCACACCTCTGTATGTTGCATTTATTATACTCTGTTTTGTGATTGGAAACAGGCAGGTAAACACAGGCTTAATTGGCAAACCCAACTGCTGAGATATGAATCATGGAGAAATCTGATTGTCAGAGGGAGAACGTCTTAATCAGAAGAAATACGCCACACCTAACCTCTAATTTGACCCCGAGGGCATAGCGAGGAAGGAGCAACAACAGCCAAATTACTTTTGTCTAGTTACACAAGCAGAAGGGTGGTGGCATAACCCCCCAAGAGCCAGCTGCTGTTGATGATTGAGTCACCAGTTCAATGCTGCAATGATAAATCAAAAGGTGACTCATCAATTAGTGGAAATTTGCCACTGCAAGTTATACCGTTGACCTTCTGCCATCTTAGCTACAAACAGACTTTGACCAACAAAACAAGAGCTGAAGTTTTGTGCAGCATTTACGCTGTACCATTCCCGTCATCCCCAGACAATACAATCATCTCAGCACATTATCATTTAGCCCAGCAGTTACTGTACTGTTTTTTGGCATCACAACACCTTTTAGATTTTTGAGAAACCCTTACCCCATCTCACCTATTGATTACAATCATCCAGAACCCTTTTAACAAAAAAAATCAAATTCCCAACAATTTGGGTGTGTATGTGTTGCCACTAGAATTGACACTTTTTTTTGCCATTATGGGCATCTAATTTATCTGACATTTTGATCAATCCTCTTAACTTCCAAACCTCCTTGTGTGGTCACGCTGGACTTACCGTGCATCCTGTTGGATTCGCTGAAGACGTGGTTATCGAAAGTGTGGTCTTTCTTCAAGATGTGCTTGAAATATTTCACGTTTTCGTCCAGATACCAGCTTAGGTTTTCATTAAAGACACTGAAGAGGAGATAAAACTCCCGATCCACGCCTTTCTAGGAGAGGAGGGACACGTAAAGGCATCAGGGCACAAAAGGCATCTCCTGTCCGGACCACCACCTTCTTCTAGCTCACGCCAAGAGCCCCACCGAGTTCTCGGCCTTAAAGGGTGGTGTGAGAGAACCAGAAGGGTGAAATGTGCAAATCAAGGGCTGGGCTCCCACATTCAAGCGGCTTGATCTGGCCATTCAAAAGGAGAAAAAACAGGCAGCTCAACACCATTGTCCAACCCGGGGGGGTGGGGAAGGAACAGAAGGAAATGGCATCTTTGGATCTAGCCCAAAGTCCTAGATCAAGGGTGGGCAACAAAGGGCCCAACGCTGAGCTAGAAGGCTCAGCATCCTTGTTCCTACAGTGGCCATTTGCCATTGCGAAGCCCAAACACAGGACACCAGAGCCATGTTCCCATCTCCATTTGCTCGCCAACAACGAATATTTAGGATTTATGATGGGGTGGGCTATATATGGCCGCCAGGTGTACCCCTGGAGCCCTCAGGGGTCCTCATTACCCCTCTTAAAAAAATAATCATCTTGAGCCCTCCAGGGTAGTATCGGAGAAATCTGGGCATTGGTTTGAGGGCCTTCTATCCTCAACCATTCCAGGACTTTTACAAACCTATTTAGAGCCTTTTTGGCCACTCAAGGGGGCAAGGGGCCTCCCCCCCCAGTTTAAAAATATAAGAAGGGGACTCCATCCAGGAGGTGCTTTTTACCTGGAGGAGTTTGCTGGGCAAGGATGATGTCCTGCTGAAGAGTCTCCCCCCCCTCTCCTGGTCCCTGTTTGACCCCAAATATGCTGTACTAAAGACAAGGCTTGAAGGATGTACATTTCATGAGCCTTGCAAACGAGAACTATGAGCAGAACCCACAATGGAGGAGGCATCAGCATTGATCATTCGCACGCCTGTGAATAATTCATCCTTAATCATCATTATTTGATGGGCCTTTGTTGCTCAAGAGCTGCACCTGGTTAAGGACTTTGATCATGCGACTGACAACAGCATCCAAACTTGTCACCATTTGTGTAAATAGGTTTTGTTTTGTTTTGTTTTTTAAAAATAAATCAGCACGTCACTTTCCCACCAAGAATAATCTTCCGAAGCCAAGGAGATTTGAAGAACTGGAGAGGTTTTAGACACGCTTGTGCGTCCTGGCGCGTCAAGAGGCTTGGGTCAAGACACAGCTTTTTATAAACTGTGCCAGGTGAGTTGTGATGTTCATGGCAAACCGCTCCTTGAGCGCACTTCAGTCAGCCTTGGTACGTGGCTTCCCTCTTTCACAGCACTTTAAAATGTGGCTTCCTACACGATGCGCCTCATTTCTAGTTCTCTGAAAGCCTCGAAGACTTTGTTTGGCCTCTGCGGATTCTTCTGACCATCGATTTTGTGACGCGACCCAAAGTCCTAAAAGGGTGAGCCGGGGACAATTTGCCCCCGCAGCCTGATCCACTTTCTCCACACCAGGCAACGACTGGAGGGGGGACTCATTTTCAGTAGGAGGACCCCCCCAACTGTGTCATACTAGCTCTGTTCGGGTAGAACTCAATCCGGTGGTCTGAATAGGCTGAAGAAGAGGGTCTCTCTTCCCCTGACTGCGGCTTTCTTCCGAGGAGCCTGGATACCCGTTCCAATCAGAAAGGCCAGCATGGAAGCCGGCATAGTGGCTTTTGTAAATAAGTTCAGAGACTTACTGTACTTTCCTCCCACACTATCCTTCAATCATGGATTCCCTAATTAATGAACAGTATGAGGAGCTTGGCTGCCTGTTCCAATCAGAGAGGCCAGCATGGAAGTTGGGGTAGGGGCTTTTGTAAATAAGTTCAGAGACTTGCTTTCCTCCCACACTATCCTTAAATCATGGATTCCCTAATTAATGAACAGTAAGTTTTATTTTGTATTTCCATCCACCCCTGCCACCCTTATTATCACTTTTTGGCATAATTTCCATCTAAGGACAGGTCTCAGGCGCTACACCTGACCACGGTCGTGCGCCAGCACAATTGCAAAAGGATGTTAAAAAAGAAGGAGAGCAAGCCCCACCTGCCGGTTTCTCCCATCCAGAGTCCCTGGCCTACAAACGAGCAAGGGCCCGACCAAGCCGGAATGGGGGTCCCTGGTGGGGTCCACTGCAGACGAGTACATCCAGGTGAGGCATGGAGGGTCTGCCGCGGTTGGGCCCACGTGGGGTGGAACCGGCCACTGGTACGTGAAATTCCCAAGAGGCTTCACCGCTGCTCCATGCTTCGTTAAGCCTTTAAGAAAACGAACAGATCATGGGTTGGTTGCACATATCTCTTGCCCAGTCTGCCTTCTGGGGCCCTTCTAGGAGAAGACAGAAATGCAACTTTTTTTTTAGTTGGCTGGACAGTTCAGTGATTAGGTATCTGGCTACAGAACCAAAGGTTGGGGGTTCAATTCCCCACTGAGCCTCCCTGTGAGTAGAGCCTTGTAGACAAGCTCCCCAGTCCCAGGTCACACACCCCCACAGAAGAAAGGACAGTTAAAACCACTTCTGTGTAGTCTTTATCTGGAAAATCCTAAAAAACAGTTGCCACACTACGATGACAACGATGACAACGACGACGACTACTACTACTACTACGTAGCTGTAGCTGCTTCTGGGGATCAGAATCCACAAAAGCTAAAGATTTCCAAGCTCTGCCAAGAGATGTTGGAAAGAAGACCAACCAGTGCCGAGTGATGGATGGAGCCACAGATTGAGACCTGAGAAGACCCACATTTGAAGCTGCAGGTCAAGGGCACGACAACGATGACAACGACGACGACTACTGCTACTACTACGTAGCTGTAGCTGCTTCTGGGGATCAGAATCCACAAAAGCTAAAGATTTCCAAGCTCTGCCAAGAGATGTTGGAAAGAAGACCAACCAGTGCCGAGTGATGGATGGAGCCACAGATTGAGACCTGAGAAGACCCACATTTGAAGCTGCAGGTCAAGGGCAGTAAAACATTTCTTGTTGCCGTTCCCTCATAATTTTAACAGATGCCATTCCCTTTATTGTCCCATTATGCAACTCTGCCCTGGAAATCACTTTATGTAAAGTGAGATCTCTCTTTTTTTTTTAATAACCAAAAGAAACAGTTCATACTCATTTGGAAAACTCAGATTTATGGGACCAGCCACCGTTTGCAGCCTAGAGATGGACCACGTAGATTGTCTGGAGTGACTCTCCACACCACTGAGCTGTCTGGGGGTTTGACCTTTTGTATTTTTATTTTCAGTCATCTCCTAATAACCAGCCGTAGCTGTCCACCCCCCTCATCCTGATCTTGCCCGAGCTCGCTTAGCCATAGAAAGAATCACAGCAGCGTCTGTGTGACTGCCGTTTTAGGGCTGTCGTTAAGATGAAAAAGGCAAGAATTATGTGAGTAAGTGTGTACCGTCATTGTACAGGGTCCCTTCCCACGTCTTCTCATAAAAGACGCCGTGGGGCTGAATGCTGAAAGGCCAAGAGGCTTTGTTGGCAAACATAACTTGAATGGTGTCTCCCACCTCGGCCTTGATCACGGGTCCTACAGAGAACAAAGGCAGGAAACACAAGTTGATATTCCAGATTACGGCAACCCATCTTTTCCAAAAGGTGCAGCAAAATCAGCAATCTTGGGGCAACTTAAAAGTCAACGGCTACACCCAACTGATCATTCCAGCTAGAGGAGCCCCATCAGCCAGCATTCTACTCCATTTACAAGAAGTAGAAAGGGAATCACACCAAGATTTGGGGCCATTTTCCAGGTTGCACAATGCAGGCCATTCATACACTAGATTCCCAAAAAAGCTGGTGGTAGACACTCTGTAGGTACGGTTATGTTGTGCATCGTACGGAATAAAATCCCGATGCAGGTTGTCATGCCAACCAACCGTCTCCTGCATCTGCTAACCCTTGAAGCTGCACCAGAAAGCCTGGGATTTACATGGGGAAAGTTTACCTGTAGGGCCAAGCAGTCTCTTGCACCCAGTAGTCCTTGCTCCAGAGCTCCCTATAAGCCTGCTCTAACCATCACAAATTCACCCACCTCATCCACATTTGGATTTTAGTAACACTGATGCCATCTGTAAAAATCTGTTTTCTACTGTTACTTTAAGTTTCTTCAATTTATTCCTTTTTATGCATAACATACCTTGTCTACTATAATAGAAAGGACCAGCTGGAAATCTCTCAGACTCACAATCTGGGCTGTGTGCTCTTCCCAATTTCTTTCTACGCTGCAACACTGCTCCCCTCCCCCGCCCCCGGAGCCATGCTGACGAGTGACATAGCGCTGCAGCATTATAGCACCAAGCATTTAATTTTGCCGCTTTACCAAGTATGCCAAGATGTTTTTCTTCTTCAGCCCGCTCTTTCTCCACCTGAAAAGTCTGGTCCGTATACTCAATATATTTGGCTTTCCAATATGTTCCCCCAATCTGAGTGGAACTCTGCTTGAAGTACAGCTCTGAGAAACTAAACAGAAGCAAACACGATTGGGTTTACGAGAGCCATATTGAAGAATAGGAGAGCAGATAAATCTTTACATGAGAGTAGACTGAAAACAAGGCTCATGTTACTGTTTGTGTTACAGAAAATTATTAACAACAAAACAATAGATTTTGCAATATACCGACAGATTTTGCAGGGTTCTTGTTTTTTTAAGTGATGCAAAAGTGTTTTTGCAAACCCAGTGGTGTCAAGAAACCCATTATTTTTCACCTTAAATGATGGGAAAGTCCTTGGCAAAGCTGAGAGCTTATTGTGCAGAGACTGGTTGAAAAGATGCACCTGACATATCAAGAGTCTCTGGAATGAAAGAATAAAAACAAGCCTACAGCTAGCAAAATGAAGCCATCAAGGCTGAGTATTTGAGGAGCCCAAACAGTTAATGGCAGAGCTGGTCAAATTATGTGTGATCCTTCAGGCAGAGAACATTTGGCATCATTGCACAGTTTTCCGTTTCCTGGTTGCAAATTCGCTTACTTTTCGTTGGCGACTGGTCAGCTGGGAGAGAGAGAGAGAAATGCAGCAGCTTAAGTCTGCTGGACAGTTTCGCAAATAGGGCAGCTGTAAAGATGTACCCCTGAAAGGATGAATGTGCTGTCCTTTCTAATTGTGAAGCTGTGCCGTCTCAGCCCTCGCCTGGAACACACCATACGGAGCGAGACTGACCGGCAGTCCACTTCATGTCTGGAAGCTGTGAGCACTAATCCAGTTCTTTTCCCTTTTATGTGTTACCTCGTTCATTGCGTATTTGGCCACCAAGTACGTCCTGCAAGTTTCTGAAACTTGGTTTCCAAAAACCGTTCAGTATAAAAGTTGAAAATAAGGAAAGGGCAGCTGTTCAGTAATTGTCAAGCATTTCTGCACCACAGTTCGGAAACAGGAAGAGAAAAACAAAATAACCGGCTGAAATCAGAATGCAGAGCTGGCCATTATTTTTCTTGCAGCTGCAGACGCAAGGCCTTGAGAGGAATCTGTTCCCAGAACAGCCTTTGGGCCCCTGGCTTTTATTCTTCCAGGAAACCATAAAAGATTCATCTCTTGCTTTACAAGGCTGTACGTGCACGCTTCTCTCTGTCTACCTGCAAAATGTTGTGGGAAAGCTTTTCCCCCCTATGATCTATTATTAACCGCACAGCAACACTATTTTGGCTTTGTTTATTTACGGCTCTTTCCTGCTGAATTACCAACAATTACTTATCCAACCAAGCAAACCCTCTTTTTTTCTTGCTCTCTATTTTTATTCCACTGGCTTCCATAGTAAACTGGCTAAAAAAAGCAATTGTTTGAATTAATTTACTGTTTCCTGATCTAGTCAAACTGGAGATTTATAAACGTGCATGCAATGCAAAAGTGGTGGGCTCAGAGAAGCGTCTCCTATCTCGCCCACTCAATATGCCATGCACCCACAAACATACACTGCCTTATTATTATAGACGGATTACTAAAACAATATAAAATTATCCCTGCTTGAGAAAGAAAATCTAGCACAGGAAAGAGAATTGCCAATGAAACTTGTTCCTATCACTAATGAGTTCTAGAAGCGAATTACCAATCACTGAGTGAAGAAAAACTCTGATTTGTCAGTCCTGAAACATCTGCCAGTTCCCTCCAGACCCCTTGCCTTAAAAGTGAAAGGGGGAAATAATTCGGTGTTAGCCACTGCTCGGGAAACCAGAAAGTGACACCAACAGAGGCATCTTCTGCCATCCTGTGTCTGAGGAAGGATTTGCAGTTCATAAGTATGATTCCCTTGTGCTCGTTGCCACAGTGAATATAGAGGGAAACAGACAGGACAGCTGGAGGGCCCATAGACGGGAGCTGGGTGGGGGGGCCACCCTCACTCCAGGCAGAGGTGCCCTGGGATTAGACAGCAGCTTGACCTGTAGGAGATCCTTGTGAAAATCAGGATGATTCATACAATCCCAAACCGGAATTAAGATTGCAGGAAGAAAGATCAACAACCTCAGATATGCAGATGATACCACTCTGATGGCAGAAAGTGAGGAGGGGGAGACAGTTAAAAGGCTGATTATTTACACAATACCAGTGTGCAAAAAATGGTCTGAAGCTCAACATCAAAAAAACTAAGATCATGGCCTCTGGTCCCATCACCTCCTGGCAAATAGAAGGGGAAGCTATGGAGGCAGTGATAGATTTTACTTTCTTGGGCTTCATGATCACTGCAGATGGTGACAGCAGCCAGGAAATAAAAAGACGCTTGCTTCTTCAGAGGAAAGTGATGAGAGACATAGACAACATCTTAAAAAGCAGAAACATCACCTTGCCGACAAAGGTCCGCATAGACAAAGCTATGGTTTTTCCAGTAGTTATGTATGGAAGTGAGAGCTGGACCATAAAGAAGGCTGATCGCCGAAGAATTGATGCTTTCGAATTGTGGCGCTGGAGGAGACTCTTGAGAGTCCCCTGGACTGCAAGGAGAACAAACCTATCCTCTAAAGGAAATCAACCCTGAGTGCTCCCTGGAAGGACAGATCCTGAAGCTGAGGCTCCAATACTTTGGCCATCTCATGAGCAGAGAAGACTCCCTGGAAAAGACCCTGATGTTGGCAAAGTGTGAAGGCAAGAGGAGAGACAAGGGGACGACAGAGGATGAGATGGTTGGACAGTGTCATCGAAGCGACCAACATGAACTTGACCCAACTCCGGGAGGCAGTGGAAGACAGGAGGGCCTGGCGTGCTCTCCGGTCCATGGGGCCACGAAGAGTCAGACACGACTAAAGGACTAAACAACTGCAAAAAGGCAAAGGCACTCACAGAAGACAAGCTTTGGAAATTCACCTTGCATCTCAAAGTCCCATTACCTATTTGGCTCCTGTAGATTTTTCCCCGTGCTTTGGTCGAAGCCGGAGGGACCGTAATTCCACTGTACCTCCTTGGCCGCAATGTAATATTGGCGAAGCTTCCCTTTCAGGGCAGGCTCTGTGTTTTGATAGGAGCAGTTCTTGACTTCATAGAGAGCTTCCATGCCAGCTGCAGAAAGCGCAAGAGAGAGGGTGATAAAAGCTCAGTTCCTATCTGTGAACTCAACAAAGGCTCAGCCAGTAATCCTGGACAGTATGACATGTTTGTTTCTTTGGCAAGGGGCTACTTCTTTGCTTACCTTGCCCTGTAAAGTGCCATAACGTCACTGGCATTAAACACACACTTGATCTTAGCCAAAAGGCCTGGAATTGCATTATACAAATAATAAAGGGGAGATGTCTTGATCCACGGAAATCATCTGGGCTAGCATTGTGCTTGAAATACCAAAAGCTGGTGTGAGTTACGCCATTTGAATTCTGCAGGCATAACTATGCAACAGGATTTGCCTTAAAAATGTTGATGTTTTCAAGGTCGTAACTGTGTTAATCTGTTGTTGTGTTTGGGCACTTCAGACTTAAAGCTTAAACATGTGAGTTGTTTGTCAAATTTTAATTCCTGCAGATATTTTGTATTTATATGTCAACCTCACCTATAGTCTATGCCACGGTGCAGGAAACAGGAGATCATGTTCCAGAACGGACAGCAATATGACCACTCCCTGCAGAATTTGGGGATGATCCCAATGGCTGGAAGAACTCAGTTTGGGCCGACACTTTGCCGTTTCAATTTTCCTCTTCAGATCGTAAAGCAGCCTGGACACCCAACCCCTGTGACGTCTGCAGTTCACTCCACTGCCATCGAGGCTTTTTAACATCCCTTTTCCAGACCCAAGATCCTACCTGAGGGTAGCGGCTTACCTATCAGGTGATCCTGGACCTCGCAGCTCAGCAGCCACTTGCCAATGTTGCACGGGGTCATTTCGGCTGTCACAAAGGTGGCTGGAAAGAGGCTGACCACATCGGTCCTGTGGCCTCGGACCAGGAGGGTCTGTCCGTGGAAGAAGGCGGTGTGAACATCCATCTCGCTGCCCATCCCAAAGAGATGCCACGAGACGTGGTCCCCAGCGCACATGCTCATCTCAGGGAGGTTCCCAAACACGAATCCATTGATAGCTGCACAAACAGAGACCAAAAGGGCACTCAGACACATAGGAGGCGCTCGTGGACTGAGCAGGGGGTGACCACACCTGAATGTTATGGGTCAGGAGGTGATCTTCCCTCTCTCGTCCACCAGTCTCCTAAGCAAAGAAGGATCTGAATTTGTTGCATGTCTGTTTTGTTTTGAACTGCAGTCACTTTCTTGAGCTCCTGGGAAAGTGTTGGCCACAAGTCTAGTTTTAAAAAGTAAATATACGAATACAGGATGCCTGTGGGTCACATGTGGTGTATTCGTCTCAAGAGGATTCAAGTCAAAGGCTGGCTCTAATGCCACATTTCCAGTCATCGATGACCTTCCAGACCTTGACTCAACCATACAAACAGGTGTTCTCTGCTGCCCTGGGCATTTCCACTTTGTCTCTCGGCCCCCCATGTGTCTCATGGTGTCGCCAAGAGCAGCCGGCACAGAAAGATGGGTGGAGGCCACAGATCCAGCACATGCCCCTCCCTACCTAACTTATCGGGAGAGGGAGCCAGCTGTCTGTGAACTGGGCTGCGGAGGTTCGGGACACTCCCTTCTGCCCCTTAACATTCTCCCTAAAGCTGATGCACCAGGAGCTTCATCACCATCAGCCTTCAATTCATATGATTTTCCACACCATTTGCATGAAATTCACTGCCTTGAGTCCCTTCTTTGGGAGAAAGGTGGGATATAAACGAAAAGTAAAGAAATACATTCTATTTATTCCTCCAGGAAACAACCTTTGTATTCAAGTTTTGCTACAAAAAAGCTTATTGATTCTTTTTAAATAAAAAATTATTAAGGTTTTGTGTTTCTTCTTAATTTTAAATTATGAATTGCATTGTTTGTTAAAAGCGGCTTGGATGGTGTCTCGTAAGGATGAGAGAGGGTTTCCCAGAAGCCCAGAATGGGTTTCGATGCCGACCCACTTATGAAATTTAACCTGCTGTTTGTCAGGTCCACGAGTCGTGGCCTCTGAGCCCCCCCCCCCCGGT